AAACCTGAGCCAGCCCTAACTAGAAACATGAGCCAGGCCTAACTAGAAACCTGAGCCAGGCCTAACTAGAAACCTGAGCCAGCCCTAACTAGAAACCTGAGCCAGCCTAACTAGAAACCTGAGCCAGGCCTAACGTTGATATTAAGATATGATGGTGCACTATAGTAGGGTAATATGGTACTATAAGCTCATTAAGATATGATGGTGCTCTCTAGTAGGGTAATATGGTACTATAAGCTCTTTAAGACATGATAGTTTCTGACCAATCAGGGCTTTGTAGGTGAGCAGAAGGATTTTAAATTATATTCTAGATTTTACAGGGAGCCAGTGCAGAGAAGCTAATACAGGAGTAATATGATCTCTTTTCTTAATTCTTGTTAGTACACGAGCTGCAGCATTCTGGATCAGCTGGAGAGATTTAAGAGACTTCTGAGAGCAGCCTGATAATAAGGAATCACAGTAATCTAGTCTAGAGGTAATAAATGCATGAACTCATGTTTCTGCATCTCTTTGAGACAGGATGTGTCTGATTTATTAAATGTTACGAAAGTGAAAAAAGGTTTTATCTGAGTTAAAAGACAAATCTTGATCAAAGATAACTCAGAGATTCTTTACGGTGCTGCTGGATACCAGAAAAACTATATCATTAGATAATTGGTTTCTAGTAGAATAACTTCACTTTAGTCTGAGTTTAACATCAGGAAGTTGCAGCTCATCCAGGTTGTTATGTCTTTAAGGCTGCTTGAAGTTTAGCGAGCTGGTTGGTTTCATCTTGATCGATAGATATAATTGAGTATCATCTGCATAACAATACATCGTCCTAACACATTATAGTATGTCTCTGAAGACTTTACGTTCAGATGGTCATATAGCTCCACCACTTCCCTCCACGACAACATGAACCAGAACCCTAAGGGGCTCAGTGAGGTAATCTGCTGACACAGCCGGAAATAAAAGATTAAAAGTCAGTTTTGTCTCTCAGTGGTTTACCTGTCAGAATATTATTTTATTACACACTTCAAACTCATTGATGCTAGTATGTATGTTAGCATGTTAGCACGGGTAGCACTGGAGACGCTGTGTTGGTTTAACTTAACCTTGAACACAAGCTTTCTCTGACATGAACCTGGTCGTTCTTGTTTCCTCATAACAATAAACTCTCCAGTCATATTCTAAATAAAGTTCACATCACATCAAAGTGTTATTACAGTGTGTTATTAGTGCTTCTACTTTAGTAAAGGATCTGAATACTTCCTGCACCGTACAGTGTGGACACATGAGAGAGGAGGCCCAGCCTGGATGTCCGACTGCAGGGGTGTAGAGAGGGGTACAGGGGGAGGATGGGGGAGTAATGGGGGTGTGAGGCCTCTTAGCATTCAGCAGAGTGCTCATTAGAAATGCAAAGCTGCAGTGTTGGAGCTGCTGGCCTGAATGAGTCACCTTTGTCCTGTAATTGGAGATGTTTCTGTGGGAGCCACAAAGAAACCAGGGCCTCCTCACCACCATCACCTTCCCTCCTCTCTCACTCACCCTGGTCTCCCTCCTCACTCGGTTGTGTATAAAAATTCAGTTTCCAGGAAATTATCCAATTAAAGCCTCAAAGTGGAGAAACAACAGAACATCACAGAATCAGCTGTCTGAATCAACCTGGTGTTTAACTGCAGTGATGAACACCTGTTTATCATCAGATGACATCATCATCAGATGACATCATCATCATCATCACCATTGTGATAATACTTCTATGTTCCCTCACAATACTTCTATGTTCCCTCACAATACTTCTATGTTCCCTCACAA